GATAAAAACTTTTCAGAAAGTGGGAAGAGAGGCAACCTACCTCAACATAATAAAGGCCATATACGACACACCCACAGCAAACATCATTCTCAATGGTGAAAAACTGAAAGCATTTCCTCAAAGATCAGGAACAACACAAGGATGTCCACTCTCGCCACTATTTTCAACATAGTTTTGGAAGTCCTAGCCATGGCAATCAGAAGAAAAAGAAATAAAAGAATACAAATTGGAAAAGAAGAAGTAAAACTATCACTGTTTGCAGATGACAAGATACTATACATAGAGAATCCTAAAGATGCCACGAGAAAACTACTAGAGCTTATCAATGAATTTGGTAAAGTTGCACGATACAAAATAAATGCACAGAAACCTCTTGCATTCCTATACACTAACAATGAAAGATCAGAAAGAGAAATTAAGGAAATAATCCCATTCACCACTGCAACAAAAAGAATAAAATACCTAGGAATAAACCTACCTAAGGAGGTAAAAGACCTGTACTCTGAAAACTATAAGACACTGATGAAAGAAATCAAAGATGACACAAACAAATGGAGAGATATACCACGTTCTTGGATTGGAAGAATCAACATTGCGAAAATGACTATTCTACCTAAAGCAATCTACAGATTCAATGCAATCCCTATCAAATTACCAATGGCATTTTTTACAGAACTGGAACAAAAAATCTTAAAATTTGTATGGAGACACAAAAGACACCAAATAGCCAAAGCAGTCTTGAGGGAAAAAAATGGAGCTGGAGGAATAAGACTCCCTGACTTCAGACTATACTAGAAAGCTACAGTAATCAAGACAATATGGTACTGGAACAAAAACAGAAATATAGATCAATGGAACAGGATAGAAAGCCCAGAGATAAACCCACGCACCTATGGTTGACTACTCTGTGACAAAGGAGGCAAGGATATACAATGGAGAAAAGACAGTCTCTTCAATAAGTGGTGCTGGGAAAACTGGACAGCTACATGTTAAAGAATGAAATTAGGGCTTCCCTGGTTGTGCAGTGGTTGAGAGTCTGCCTGCCGATGCAGGCGACGCGGGTTCGTGTCCCAGTCCGGGAAGATCCCACATGCCGCGGAGTGGCTGGGCCCGTGAGCCACGGCTGCTGAGCCTGCGCGTCCGGAGCCTGTGCTCCCCAACAGAAGCGGTCACAACAGTGAGAGGCCCGTGTACCGTAAAAAAAAAAAAAAAAAAAAAAAAGAATGAAATTAGAACACTCCCTAACACCATGCACAAAAATAAACTCAAAATGAATTGGAGACCTAAATGTACGACCAGACACTATAAAACTCCTAGAGGAAAACACAGGAAGAACACTCTTTGACATAAATCACAGCAAGATCTTTTTTGATCCACCTCTTAGAGTAATGGAAATGAAAACAGAAATAAACAAATGGGACCTAATGAAACTTAAAAGCTTTTGCAAAGCAAACTACAAACAAGACGAAAAGACAACCCTCAGAATGGGAGAAAATATTTGCAAACGAATCAACAAAGGATTAATCCCCCAAATATATAAACAGCTCATGCAGCTCAATATTAAAAAAACAAACATCCCAATCCAAAAATGGGCAGAAGACCTAAAAAGACATTTCTCCAAAGACATACAGATGGCCAAGAAGTACATGAAAAGCTGCTCAACATCACTAATTATTAGAGAAATGCAAATCAAAACTACAATGAGGTATCACCTCACACCAGTCAGAATGGACATCATAAGAAAATCTACAAACAACAGATGCTGGAGAGGGTGTGGAGAAAAGGGAACCCTCTTGCACTGTTGGTGGGAATATAAATTGATACAGCCACTATGGAGAACACTATGGAGGTTCCTTAAAAAACTAAAAATAGAATTACCATATGACCCATCAATCCCACTACTGGGCATATACCCAGAGACAACTGTAATTCAAAAAGACACATGCATCCCAATGTTCACTGCAGCACTATTTACAATAGCCAGGTCATGGAAGTAACCTAAATGCCCATCGACAGACAAATGGATAAAGATAATGTGGTACATATATACAGTGGAATATTAGCCATGAAAAGGAACAAAATTGGGTCATTTGTAGAGATGTGGATGGATCTAGAGACTGTCATAGAGAGTGAAGTAAGTCAGAAAAACAAATATTAACGCATATATGTGGAACCTAGAAAAATGGTACAGATGAACTGGTGTGCAGGGCAGAAATAGAGACACAGATGTAGAGAACAAATGTATGGACACCAAGGGGGAAAGCGGCGGGGGGTTGGGGTGGGGGTGTGATGAATTGGGAGATTGGGATTGACATGTATACACTGATGTGTATAAAATGGATAACTCATAAGAACCTACTGTATAAAAAATAAATAAAATAAAATACAAATATTAAAAAAAAAAAAATACAGACACTGGCCCAAAGCCTACAAGGAAGGAAGTTATCTGGAGGAGAAGCTTTAGCTAAGTTTTAACTTGCATATGTTGTTTTCTTTACTAAAATCAACCCCATAGGGAAATATACTACAGTTTGGGCTTTGTTGATGTTGTTTTCCTCCACAGATTCTTCCTTCTTTTTGCAGAAATAGGATTATGGCTCAAGTCATTTGAAAGCCTCTCCAGGAACCTGTATTCCAAAGAGAAGACTCCATAGGAGGAACATCAGAGAAAGAAGTTACTTGTCTATCTTTGGTAATGTTCCTCCAAAACACCTTTCATTATGTCAGTGGATAAGACCCCTCAACTAATAGAGCAAATTCATTTACAGGGAGGTAATAAATTGAAATAAACATTGTATTTAGTTTCTTGTCTGTCTCTAAATCTGTTTCATTAGGGAATTTACAGCACACCATTGTCACATAACCTCCCTATTTCTCTTTTCTTGATTCAACTCTAGTCCTATAGCAATGCAGGTAAAGACTTAGTTTTTAGAAGTACGGAAATTATCCTAATTTATATAATACTAGTAAACATTCTAATTACCTTTTAAGCCTTTTATTTTAAAGTATATTTGATTTACAATGTTGTGTTAGTTTCTGGTGTATAGCAAAGTGATTCAGTTATACATATGTATCGATACATATATTCTTTTTCATATTCTTTTCCATTATGGTTTATTACAGGATATTGAATATAGTTCCCTGTGTCTGTTAAGCATTTTAAACACACTGTATCCTTTTGCTTCATATTCCCCAGTTGGACTGCAAAGCTTGGGACTGGGTCATATATTTTTCCTGTAACCACTGAGTGCCCAGCACTGGAATAGGCAGATACCAAACCACCAATTAGGTGACAGATTTAAGTCAGTCCCTAACTTTTCTATACCAAAATAAACATATTCTGAGTGCCAGTTTTATGTGAAGCATTCTATTACTTGTCATGAAGGATTCAGAGAAGTATGTGATCGACCACGGACACAAGAGCATACCTTTTATCCTCCTTGGCCTAACGCATCTTACCAGTGAAGAACTACCTTTGATGCTATTTCTTTCCCTAAATCATCTGTCACACTCTAAGTGCCATTTTTTTGATTAAATACTTTTAATTCTACATATCAAATGACAACACTTTTTAAACATCTTTTTAAAAATAAATTATATTTCTTGGCTGCATTGGGTCTTCATTGCTGTGTGTGGCCTTTCTCTAGTTGTGGTGAGCGTGGGCTAATCTTCGTTGTGATGGGCGGGCTTCTCGTTGTGGTGGATTCTCTTGCTGCGGAGCACAGGCTCTAGGCGTGCGGGCTTCAGCAGTTGTGGCACACGGGCTCAGTAGCTGTGGCTCGTGGGCTCTAGAGCACAGGCTCAGTAGTTGTGGTGCACGGGCTTAGTTGCTCCGCGGCATGTGGGATCTTCCCGGACCAGGGCTCGAACCCATATCCCCTGCATTGGCAGGTGGATTCTTAACCACTGCACCACCAGGGAAGTCCCTCATATAACAACTTCTGAAAATAATTTAAGCATACTTAAAATGCCAGAAAAAATGACACTACCATACGGCTCAACCATAAATATGGCTTCCCTCCATAAACACCTATACCTCATAACCAGAGAACTAGATTCCAGGAGAGTTTCGAGAAAATTCTAAATGTTAAGCCCATAAGCTAGAGTTTTATTTGTTTGCATTGCTGACTCTATTCATGAGTCTACTCTTCTACTTGCTGTGAAATAACCATCCTCAAACACAATTTTCAGCAGCTGCCTTAAAGAAAACTACCAGCCCCTGCTATTTCAGATGAAACCCATATCCAAAGCACTCCCGACTCTTCATTTCAATCCCACACTCGCCCCAACCTCACCCCTCCCTAGCGCCCCCCACCCTCATTACACACACCAGCCAAGAACTTTGAGCTCAGTCATAACCCTCTGTGCTTCTGCCTAAGCCTGCCTTCCTTCCTCGAATACCGTCCTTTCCGTCCTGGCCAATTTCTGTACATACACCACTTCACTTTAAGTGGCTGCTCAAAACACATTTCCTTATGCAAGCGTTCTATGATTTTTCTCACAGTTTAAACATTTACCTAATATGTTATGTGTCAGATACTTGTATGTAATTTTGCTTATCTCTCTTGTCTTGTCTTAACCAATTTTGAGTGTCAGCTCTGGTCTCCTCTCCCCAGCCCTGGTCACAGCCTCACTAGGACCCTCGACACTTGAACATGGTCAGATGTCTACTGGCACCGTATTTTCAGTAATTTGCTATCCTGAATGAACTGTAGTCCTAAAGCAGACATTTTTGGTGAAATACATAGCCCGAGGGCAGGATTCCGGATAAGCCCTGGCCGCAGAAGTCAGCTCAGTGAATGGAGGTGGGGGACTAATCCTTGGGGAGGCTGACAGGACAGCTGGAGAAAAAGGGCAGGTGGAAGTGGAGGCTAGAGGACTGGGATAGACTAGAGGGTTGGTCAAAAGCCAAAGGAATGGCGTTTCAGGAGGTCTGGGGGAGTTGTCCCAAGGAAGGCCCTCTCGGAGCCCGGGAACGAGACGGGACAGGTCCGACTCACCCATGGGTTGGGGAAAGTGGAAGGACACGGAACCGAAGAGCAGGTCACGGTAGCGTTGGAAGGCCTCGTCGAGGACGGAGCAGCCTACCTGCGCGGCCGAACTGACGTGGTACTGGAATTGGAAGGTGTGCGGGAAGATGGTGTAGCGCTGCTCGGAGGTTTGGATGTACTGGGGCCATGGCCACAGGGCCGTCGCCCGCCCAGCGAACGCTGCCGCCAGCAGCAGCGAAAACCAGAGCGCGGAGCCTGCCATAGCCCGCCGGTCTCCTCTCTCCCAGTGGGCCGGGCCACGTGACACCCTGGTCAGGTGAGCCGCCCCCCGCGTGATAACGGGCGCGTCACGTGACCGGAGGCAGCTCTTCATCAGCGACCCCGGAGGACGGATTACCCGTCCTTACAGTCCCGGCGTGAGCCCGGAGCTCGTGTGGCGTGCAGTGGATGGTGCGGGGCATCGGTGATGGTTCAGGTGCAGGCGGTTCACGGACCTGGTGGAGCAGTAGCTAAATGCACCACCGCAGGTGTCAGGCCTGCGGTCACAGAACTATAAGCGCACCAAAGGGTAGAAGCCCCACGTGGGGAGGCTGAGTAGGCGAGCGAGAAAGAAAGTTTCCCGAATCGTGAACGCGGAATAAGGGCTCGCGAGGCCTGCTGGGAAGTAAAGGACGTCCCAGGCCCAGGGAACTTAAGAAACAAAAAAATGGAGGCTTAAAAGCACAGCTCCTTTTGATGCTGTAGGTCAGAAAGGGTCTGGAATATAGGTAGTGAGAATGGCTCAGCTAGAGAGGGCATTATAAGATCACAAAAATGGGATCTACTTACGACTGGGGAAAAAATGTGTACTTTCACAGCAAGCTTGAGGCGTCCCATTTCCAGCCTCTAGCGTAGGCTCTTCCTTTAATGGTTGATAATCTCCTAGTAACCGCCCCTAGATCCTCTCCTCGCAGACAAAACTCCGCGAACAGGTAGGTCCTGTACTTACTGCAAGCAGTAAGACATTGCTTGAACTTTTTTTTTTTTTTTTCATTGCTTGAACTTTGGGTGCAAGTTCGACAATACCCAGAGATAAGACAGGTCTTATACCCAGAGAGAAATTCCGCAGGGGTTTACATAGAAGTCCGAGAGTCAGGACTTAATTTTGTGGGCAACTGAAAATCAGCCCAAAGATTTGCATTTTAGAAATCTCATGTTGAATAGTCGGATGGATAAGAAACCAGTTAGGCAGAGCTTTTTTTTTTTTTTTTAATTGGAGGTGGAAGATAATAAGACCTTGAACTATAGCAGTCGGAAAGGAAGAGAGCTGTAGATCCAGAAAATAGTGGATCTGCTCAGAAGCAGAGGGGTTGATACACGAGAGGCTTGAGGGCTGATCAGCGAGAACACAGTTACTTACTGAGTCAGGGACCCTGTCTTCCTTGCTCATCACTATATTATCAGAGCACAGTACCAGGAGAGAAGTAATTTACCTAGAAGAGTCACAAAATGAAGGAACTGGACCCAAATAAGGAGACTGCAAAAATTACTAATGAAAATACTTAGAGATTATTGTTGAGAGAAGATTCCAAACATATTATTCCAGTTATCCTCTCTCTGACAGTATGTCAGACAATCAGAAAAGTAATGAACAACCATTAAAAGTTAAAAAAAACATCATAATACAAGTAAAGGTTCAGAGCCTAGCATAGAAATAGTAGCAAAAATTAAAATTAACAGTTATTTAACATTATAAACTCTAGATTCGTATATACACAACATTGCCATCAATTTTGACAGTAGATGAATAACAAAAATAATGACACAGATAATATATAGTATATAACTGGTTGTTTTCTCTGTTTTTCTGTTTACTAAAGACAACTTGCTAAATGAATAAAACATAATTTAATTTCCGTTATCTATAGCATCTAATAAAATTACATATCAGAAAAAGAATTCACTGTCAGACAATGTGTCCAGAGTTTTGGTTCATAAAGTAGAGTCATCAGTGTAGGAGAGAGGAGGGAATGACTAATTTTGCCTGGGGAAGTCTTTCAAAGAGGAAGTGGCTTGAGCTGGCTTCCAGAACATGAGTTGGCAGGGAAGGGGAGCATGGGCAAAGCATAGAGGTGTGGATGAAGATGGCATATTGAGCATAGTGTTTTGGGGGATAGCAAGGTGAAAATGTGCCGTGATTATCTCACTTCTACCATATTCCCTTCTCCTTGGAATGCCTTTCCCACCTCCCACTCCCACCACTTACTTGAAGGTCTAAAGTTAAATTTTACCACCCTATAAATCTCTGACTTCTCACACCTGGGTAAGATCCCATAGCCCTCTGAGCTTATCTCCATCAGAGCACTTACCTCAATATTGTAATTGCCTGTCCATTTGTCTGTATCCCTTAAGTAAAAGTTCCTTAAGGGCAGGTTCTGTGTTCACTGTTGTATTCCTAGCCCTGGGCACAGTGTCTGGCACATAGTAGATTCTTAATAAAGACTTGTTAAATAAGTGAAAGGCCCAGAATATCTCTTCTCCTATTTAGCATCTACTTATCCTTCAGGTCTTAGCCTAGACCAGACCAACAAGTATGTTGTGAATGGAGTACCAGTGTGTTGAGACAGTGACCATCCCCTCCCCTCTATCCTTGGGGTGGCCAGGCAGAGCCTGGGGTAGCTAGACATCCTGGTCAGTCATCTCCAGCCAAGAACAAACACCTGTGTGTGCTCTGATGTGAGAAACTTTGGGAAGCACTTAGACATCTCCTCTAGGATGTTTCTTTATGGCACCCTCATTGCAGCCTCTTTACTTATCCATGTTCTCCACAGACAACGTGCTGAATGAGTGGCATCTTTTCCACAGTTGTATCCTTACTGCCTGAGCCAAGAATCTGCACATAGTAAGTGTTCAGCAAATATTTGTTGAATGAATGAGGAAGCATTTGTATTAAATTTCGAAAGACAGAATTTCATTGTGTAGAGAGGAAAGAGCAATCCATGGAGAAGGACTGCAGTCTAGAAAGAAAACTCCATCTAACTTGTTCACTTTAAGATCCCCAGGTTCTGGAACAGCACCTGGCACATCATAGTCATTTAATGGATATTTTTGAATGAATAGAATGAAATGGCAAACGAACCTAGGCAGAGATCTCTGAAGAATCTGGAGTGATACCAGGGATGTGAGCAATTCTGTTTTACTAGAACCAATAGTGCATAAAGAGAAATACGGATAAAAATAATTTTAGAAAAAGTAAGTTGAAGCTGGGTAATGAAGTAAGGAAAGGAGGAAATTATTGATCAAGGTACTGTGTACTAGATACATGTTATCTTCTTTATCTCTCACAACAACTGTGTGAAATTGAGTATCAGCTACATTTTACAGATGAGGAAGCAGGCTCTGATAATTAAAGTAACTTGACCAAGGCCCCATAGATAGTTGTCAGAACCAGTATTTGGACCCAGGTCTTCCATGCCAAAATCTATTGCTTTTACATCTATCATACTTCCTTGAAAGCTAGTCTGAAGATTGTATTGGGATTTTACTCTTGAGTCTATGGGAAGCTAGTGAAATTTCTTTAGCTGAAGAGTGACAAGACCAGAGCTGAAATTTGCTCAGATTAATCCGTTAGCATATATAGGAGGAATCAAATGGGGAAAGCCGTGTGCAGGTAGATTGGGGCTGAGGCTGAGGTTGAGGTTGAGGCTGAGCCTCTTGGCTCAGAGCTCTCTAAAACAACCTGACCATTCTCACATGCTATGGGGCTCAGGAAATGCAGACCCGAATTCACCTGAGATCGATGGCTTCATTTTTCCTCTTCCACATCGGCTAGCCAGACCAGTGAGACAAGCTTTGTTTAATTTGTCAAAGTTTACAAAAGTGGAGATGGTCCAAATTATCTATGCTCCCTGACTCTCTTTAGACCCATCCCAATTCACATGGAGCCATCCCTACCTCTGCTGTACCCTGTTACCTCCAGCTCCTCCCATGCTGTTTCCAGAATTACAGAATGCTACCCAATTTACCACTACTAAACATGTACAGCATTCCTTGGGGATACTAAAAATATTTCTGTGTCTAGTTTTTTTTATTTTGAGCCTTATCCCCTCTTCTCTCCTATTTAGTCGTATAATTTTTCTAGTTATCTTTTCAGGCTTACTCCCTAATTCTTTTTTTTTTTTTTTTGGTTGCACCGGGTCTTAGTTGCAGCAGGCAGGCTCCTTAGTTGTGGCTGGTGGGCTCCTTAGTTGCAGCTTGTGGACTCCTTTGTTGTGGCATACGAACTCTTAATTGCGGCATGCATGTGGGATCTAGTTCCCTGACTAGGGATCTAATCTAGACCCCCTACTTTGAGAGCATGGAGTCTTAACCACTGCGCCACTGGGGAAGTCCCTCCCTAATTCTTAACAACTTTCCCTAACTCTAGACATACATTTCTTGCAATAACTGGCCTTGTCCTATATCTATCCAATCCTAGCCTACACATAGACTTAAAAAAAAAAATTGCCTGGATATTTACACAGGTGGTTTTCTATGGTCAGATAATTAGAAAAACTAAAGCCCTGAGGGAACATTCAATAGATCTGATGGGACTTCCCTGGTGGTCCAGTGGTTAAGACTCCGTGCTTCCAATGCAGGGGGCTCAGGTTCAATCCCTGGTCAGGGAACTAAGATCCTGCATGCCACGCAGCATGGCCAAAAAATTTTAAAAAACAAAACAGATCTGAGCAAAAGGAGTGACAGTGGGAAAGGGGGATATGGGTCAAATGCAGTAATGTTTCAGATACAAAATGACAGAACTCAGCAACTAACTGGGTGAAGTAGGGATGGGGACAAGGGAAAGAGGAGAGAAAAAGGTGTACCAGTCTAGTTTCCCAAGGGAATCATCGTGCCATTAACTGAATACAAAAGGAAGAGCCAGTTTTGGAAAAAAAGATAATGAGCTCTGAGACATGCTGCTTTGGAGGAGACGGAAGAACAGCAGAGTTGGAATGTCCAGCAGGGCCAAGGAGATACAGGCTGGGAGCTCAAAAGAGAGCTCTGGGCATCATTGCTCAAAGATGACAGTTGAGATCATATGAAATAGTCAAGGGAAAAAGGAAGGAAGGCTAAAAATTAGGGGGAAAGAGGACTTTGGTGAGAGAGAAGTTTGTGAGGGACAAAAGGAGCACAGAGGAGGGATGGCAGCTAGTAGAGTAGGCTGAGCTCAGAGATTAGGATAAAGGGCTTACCAGATAATTTGACTTGCCTCTTATCTTTAAATACAGGTCTGTCATAAGCCCTCACACTGTCACAATATGTTGATTTTATCTCCATGACATGCCTTTTGCTTGCAA